AGTTCCTGCATTTCTGACATGAGACGAGACAAGACCAGGGTGTCTGAACTTTTGCATATTAACTCCTTAGCTGAACAATTTAATAGCCAGGATTTCCACTCACCTGAGAGTGTGGACAAATATCTAGCCATTTTACTATACATGGATGATGTGCAACCTGCTACATTATACACTTAAGCCTGAAGTGAGTACAGCAGGCCATTATCATGTAGAGCACTTCATCGAAAATGGAGACCCATCATTAGAAAACAAAAATCTCGGTCTTTGCAAAAGAAAAATTATGTGTATATATGTATGTGTGTTTGTTCCTTTAATTCAGTCAATAATTATTTATTTATATTTATTTATAATTTACAAGGCTGCCCAACTAAACACTGACTCTGGGTGGTGTACAGCTTACAAAGAGAGACAATATCTAAAATCAGACAAAAAATAAAGATAATGGGGGAGCAAACATACTTCAACTGAAACAGACAATGCACACCAGATGGACAAACCCCAACCTATTCCAGAGAATGGGAGGGGGGCGCGGGGACAAGTTTTCAAAGATTGTTTAAAGGCTTGCAGGGTCAGGGGAGTCCAAACCTCCAGGGGATGATATTCCAAGGGGCAGGCATCCAACATAAGAAAATGCAGTTCCTAGGTCCCAACAGATGATTCTGCTTAATGGTTGGGTCATAAACAATATGGATTGTTTTCCATAGTTCTGCTTCGGCAAGGAGAATGTTAAGTTCCCAAAAGTATTAAATAAAGAATAAGCTAGATCTTGGCTATGTCACTGGGTCAAAGTTACTATAACTTGAATAGAATCAATAGATCTCTGAAGCAAACAGATTATTTATTGAATATATCAAGTTCCCGATTAATAAAGAGCCTTCATACTGGTAAGATACAATGCATTGCCCTTAGCAATTCCATTGGGGAAACACAGAACTATTTTATATTACATGAAAGTTTGTCCTTGCAGCTCTGGAAAAGTTGAATGAATGGAACTTATCTTCCTAAACTGCGCATTTTATAAAGGCATATAGTATTGTACTTTCTTAATCTCTCATTTGTAAGATCCTCCAAATATTACCAAAAGATGTTGCGAGCCACTTTTTTGCTTGAAAGTTCATACCAAGAAACATGTTTAAAGGCGACCAAATTCTGGGTACGAGCTAATAGTCAGAGAAGAAAAATGTATTGTTCACCAGTGATAGATACAAAGCAGCTTCCTTAATTTCTTTTTATTGTGAAGATGAAATAAATTTGTTTTGTAGTTTTAGAGTTGGGCATTATTTTATGTTAATTTATATTATCATGTGTATGTTCTGTTCTTTGACTGTACTAAGTAACTAAATGAAGTCAACCAATCTTTATTATTAAATATGTAATGTGGTATCTTTACACTCTCTTAATTTTCAGAAAGAACTTTCAGTCACATCTTCATAATTTGTGGCAATTAAGCATCAAGATTAAAAACTACACTGTGTTTTATAGAGTAAAGTACTAAGGTAGTTTCAATTATTATCCAGTTTTCTTCATAAACTGTAGAGAGAATGTGTGAAATTAAGTTTGCCTTTTTACATATTTTCACTTGAGAACTGGCAAACTTTCTGATAACGAGGTCCATTCTTATCCCAAGACATTATTTAGTGAAACCTGTGAAAGAAAGCTGTCTCTAGAGTGTTTTTTTTAAGCAGAGAAAAAGAGAAAATTTCACTTGCTTTCCTCAGCATAAAGAATATTCCCCCCCCCCCCAAAGAAAAAAGAATATAAATCAACAATTCTCAAAGGAAAGGGAGAATGATTGGTACTTAGAGCCCTGGAAGGTTTCGCAGTTAAGTTGTACAATTCCACTGAAGCAATAAAGATTATCTACTTGTGCCTTGGGACAAATATTTCTGGCAGACAAGATAGTTACACTCCTATTTTGTATATTGATGTCAGTTTGGTTAATACAGTAATTAGGTGCTGAAAAGATCAGATGGCACCAAAAGATGAACGTTGGATCTACTTCCTGGAATTGATGATCCTTAATATGGTATATAATATTTATTTTATAGTATTTAAAAATTAATTATTAAATAAAGAGGTGAGTTTAAAGAACTAGGATACAGTTTAGAACATTTCTACCTTTTGTAAAGAAAAAATATTAATTTTAGTAACTGAGCAACATTAATGTTTTTCAACATTTTAAGCTGTACCTCTCTGTATAAAGACAAAGAAACTCTTAGTCAAGGGCATATCTAGTAAAATGTCTGTACCATGTCCAACTTACAGTTGGTCCTGCAGTTCCACAATGATGTACTCAAGTTGTTCTTTCTCCATTTTATGGGCCAGATCCATAGATTCTATCTTCTGCTGCAATGCCTTCTTCTGAGAGATGGATTCAGCCAGCTGGGTCTCTCTAAGGCGTACTAGCTCTTCTAGATAACCCTAGAGACATACATCTTTAATGAACTCTTTTATTTTTAAAAATACTTTGACAAGCTCTGTTTGATTTTGATACTAGTGATGAATGATAGATAACTATGAAAAAATAGTTCAAATGGTCTATTTCACTGCTTACATCTTAACTGCAGATTTTGAAGTTATTTGCTAATTACATCTATAGTTTTTAAGGCCTAGATAGCCAGTGTGTACAGTACATATACATTGACAACCTGGCTGTTCTCCTAGGCCTTGGGGGTAGGGTGGTTGTTGCTCTTATTTTATAGTTCTTTACTTGTTTAAACTGTAAGCTACCCGGAGTCATTTGGAAACAGGCAGCTTCTAAATTTAAAGGAACAAATGGGTGTGATGTTTACTTTCCCACTCAGTTCAACCTCAAAAATATGACTATAGCTAGAGAAAACTAAAGCAGAAGAAGAAATCAGGCATAACAGCATTTACAGTAGAGTGAATGACTGAATGACTTTACAGATGCCCATATAAGAACTTAGGTAAGAATGTTATTATCTCCAGTCTCTCATATGGGTTGATTAGCAAGCTTACTTATAGAGATTCTAAAATGACAAAGAACAGAAAATAGTAGAGATCTTCAACCACTCCCTCGAGATTGTCTATAGTATTGAAATAGTCCCAGTAGAACAGATCCAACTATCTCTGAGGGTAGAAGTTTCACTGGAGAGTTAAAAAAGACGAAGCAAATCCATTAAGAAAAACTTACGTCAAGACTTTTTAAAATAATTAATATCTTTAATAAGATAGAAAGAGAACATCACTTTAGGGGGAAATTAAATATTGTTGCATCATGATCAATAATGATGGCTTTTACCATAATTTGTCTATCTACTTAATAAAAACTGAGATGCTTCACATCTCCTATAAGCATGCCTCATCCATATATCACAAAGGCATGTTTTTAAAAGCACAATACAAATTTGAAAGATAGGTCACAAGTCTTTCATCTCTGCTGTCAATGTTTAAAGGCTTTACTGAGAGACAAACTTCTACATTGCCAGTAAGTTCTGCTTGCTATGTTTTTTCCCCCCCTTTTAGGAGCAAGAACCAGAATTTGAATTTGAGAAAGAAAAGGATGGAAGAAAAATTGCTGTTTCCTCTGCCAGAAGACTTTCTGGCTACATCTCTGCTTCCTGTGTCACCAGCAGCTTCAATAGATGCAATAATGACCAGTTTCACTATTTCTGTAGGGTACAAGAGAAGGAAGGCTTTTGAGCTCCACTAATCCTGACTGTGTAGAAACTAGGTTCTTCCTCACAGGTGAAAACAGACTTAAAGAATATTATCTGACTAGAAAGCAAGTCTTCTGTGTGGCCAAAAAGAGCTTTTTTATTACCTTGTTCCAGAACCATAGCAAATAAACACAGACTACAATGCTACATAAAAGAAATAATAATTTTCATTTGGAAGAATATCTTTAAAATTAAATCTGTAAAAGTCCCTATTGTTAATATTGTAATAATTGTAATACACCAAACATTGTCAGCCACTTTATCTCAACGAATGTTTACCTTCTGTTCCAGTGTGAGGTGGTATTTCTGTTCAACCCGTTTGCACTTGTTGTACCAGCTATTCTCATCCATGCTGAAAGGAGGACCAATGTTTTCTGGAGTACTGCTTTCACTACCACTACTGCCCAGTGTTCTTAGCTCTTCCTCATCACTACTGATGCTGTCAGAACTGAGAAATCAAACTCAAAAGCTAAGAACAATTACTTGCAAAATTTAAATGGAAAAAAACTGAATTGAAATTTCTTATTTTTAGATACTCCAATAGAGAGATGGATCTTATCATCAAGAATCTGCAAAAATTATTTTAGAGACTAAAAACAAAGGCCAATCATTATCCATTCTATGAGCCTTTCCTCACTGCTGAGATTAAGTGCTATCCACCTCTTCTCGAATCAACAGAAATTTGCTCTCCCCACTGCTGAGCCCAATTCTGCCTCTATTACTCCTGTTTCAAGTAACTGCAATCATCTGGATTCTCTCCAAGATAATGGGTAACAAAATCTAACAGATTTTGCTTCCAGCTATTCTAAGATGGTGTTGAAATAAAAGGGGGAAATACTATTTTAATTCCAGTATAGCTAAGAATGACTTAAGCTTGTCACATATTTGTGATGTGTTAGGTGTAAGTGGGAAAAGGACTTATGATTCTATGATCCAGAACAGATTCTCATACTGTGCAGATACTGAATGGTTCCCTTTACATAGAACTTGTACATAATTACCACTTCCTATATCTTCTATCATTATATCTATGATCAATATATCGCTTTTCTTTACATCTGTCAACTTGCCCTCTATGCTAAATTAAATAAGTTCAGCAGCCTTTTTCATGTAAAGTTGGGTTCCATTATTGTTCAAGTGAAGCTTGCTCTTTTTGTATATATAAGGTCATATTATCCTAAAATCAATCAAGATTTTCATCCATTTTAGCTTAGTAGTTAAGTAAGAAAAACATATTGATATGACCACCAAATAGAAATGGTGGAAGGTGGGGAGATAGAGTTCTAACAGTTTTGCCCACATACATTTTAGGGCAGGGGTAATGAATGGTATACACAACACATGCTGGTACATGTTGTGAACCCCTGCAGAGAATGTCTCTGTCCTACTGGAATGGTGAAAAAAGCTATTTTACATTTATATTTACAATAAGTACAACGGCCACAGGGAAATGACCATGAGAAGGAGACAATCTTTCAACGACTGTGTTCTATGGCTGGCCGTGAGAAAAGAATTCATTTGTGATGCATGTTATATTCCAATAAAAATATTTTCACTGGTACTTGGAACTCCTCCCTCCTTCTTTCCCTTCCACGTAGAAAGCATCACAAACTATTGGGAGCAATATGTGAAATAAAAATAATAGAAAAATATATTACAAGAAAATTTTAAAGCACAGATGAATTTTACAGACTAAAAAGATACCTTTGGGTGAATTTCAGATATGGTGTATAATCTATCACAGCTGGATAGTTGCCATCCAAACCTTCACCTTTGAGGCAGAAGCTGCCATAAAATGAGAAATCAGAAATTAAGAACATTAAAACATTTTGGTATTGAATAATCTCAGCACATAATTCATTTTTTTACACAAAATCACCAGTGCAAAAGATATCTAAGAACAATTTTCAACATGAGAAAATTCAGCTTTAAATGTAGGCTCTTAGATACCAGCCATTTCACCAGCAATTAAAATATCATTCTGGGGTTTTTTTTAGAACATGTTTTTCCAAATATTGATTTTCCACAAACTGGTTTTATATGTACTAGGACAGAATTCAATACAAAGTTTTGAGGAAAGCAAAAGCATCTACGTGATTTTACATTCTTTGTAGATAAAATCAAAAAGAAATGACAGGAAAGTTACCACTCATTATTATTACTAAGTAGCTGCAGTACATGTAAAACAGAGTGCCTTTTAATCACAGATTGAAATCCCTTATACAAAGGGTTTTTTTAAAATATAACTATAATGTATAATGTAGCTTTACATGAATAAGCTGTGGCTAATCTCAAGAATAATCTGTGGCTCAGATCATGAGCTTCTTACTGCAAAATTTAGGCTTAAATTGAAGAATGTAGGGAAAACCACTAGA